TTTTTTGGGGGGTGCTGTCTCATTCACATCAGCAATACCGAAACAAACCTCGTGTGTCCCTCACTTGGGAATTCCCTTCCTGCCTGCAGGAGGGAAGAGTTCTGGTGGGGAAAGAGCAGATTTGGTGGTGCTGGTTCAGGCCAGTGGTGCTGGTGGAACAGGACTGGAAAACTCAATCTGGAGTTGGGATAGAGCAGGATCAGCACTAAATAGGTGCAGAGAGGGATGAGTGGCTCTGTGGGATCACTGATTATCCCAAACAGGCACAGGGGAGCAGAGCAGCTTCCCACAAACCCAACCTCCTGGTTTGCTGTATAAAAACCCATAAAACCCACCCCCACCTCTGGATTTGTTTTCCTTAATCCCCCCCTTCTCCAGAATGCCCCTCTTCCAGTGGCAAGCCCAACCACGCAGACATCCTGCTCGTAAACTTACAGTACGTGTCAGAAGTGGAAATAATCAATGACCGCACGGAAACGCCTCCCCCTTTAGCCTCCCTCAACGTCAGCAAGGTGAGACACATCCAGAGACCCCTGCCCCTCCCTCGGGGGTGCTGGGAATCCTGCAGGGATCCAGCAGGATTCCCCACGGGAGCTCCCCTGCTCCCAGCACAGCTTCCCAGAGCTCCCACCCCGCCTCTGGGCTTTGGTGATCTGGGTCTGGGTTTTAGCAGTTTGGTCTCTGGATTTTGGCACTTGGCGGCCTGGATTTTGTTGGGTTTAGGGTCTGGACTTTTGGCGTTCAGGGCTTGGATTTTGGGTGGTTTTGTGTAGATTTTTGGTGTTTGGGAACCTGGGTTCTGGTATTTTTGGGGTCTAAGGTGATCTGGATTTGGCGTCTGGAGGATGCTATTTTGGGTCTCAATTTTTGCATTTTGGAGTGGACAGGAGGGGTAAAGACGAACTCATAAAGATGAACTCATGGAATTCTGAGGAACTGCTTTTCATCCATCCTGGAATGGGATCACTGCTGATTCCCAGTGATGTGAAAGAAAGGGAAGGTGACCCCGAGCCCTCGGTGCTGGGGTGAATCCAGCTGTGGGGTGCTCAGCTGTCACCCCCTTGTCCCACAGGGACCCCTCTCCCGGGGCTTTGTGTCACACAGGTGGCACCAGCTGGGTATCTGTCCCTTCCCGATGGATTAACACACCCAAGGTCTGAGATGTGACTGCTGGCTGTCACTGCAGGGTGGCATCGCTGGGAACCCCCCTCAGGAATTCCAGAGCTCACTTTTCCAGCATCCCAGTAATTGTGGGGTTGGTGAGGAGGGAAGGAACAGAGAAGGGGCCACTCCAGTGGCAGGAGGGGCAATCTCCTTGCCCAGGGATGCTCAGGGGCAGCCTGGGCTGGGACACTGCTACAGGACTGGGATGTTGGTGGTGGCTGGTACTGGTTGTACTGGGAGAAGGAGGTGTGGTCACATGGGAGTGCTGGGGTGCTCCAGGAGACCCAGAGAATTGGGGACTTTTGGGAACACCCCCTGTCCCACGGGGCTGGCACTCACCACAGGACCTCGGCACAGCCTGGTGCCTTTCCAGGAGATTTCGGAGGGATCCCCTGGATCTCCCCAGCCTGCCAGCACCCAAGTGGGATGAGGGGCCACCCTGGCACTAGGGGACCCTGGCGTGGCCCTTGGTGGCCCTGGCATGAACCTTGGTGGCCCTGCTGGTCCCTCCTTGCCTGGTGCTGCGAATTCCGTCATTGATCCGGAGGGAGCAGGGAAGTGACTCATCCATTCTCATCCATTCATGCTGCCTGCACAGGGTGTGCAGGGGAGCCTGGAGCTCCTTGGAACGCTCACATCCAGGGGCTGGAGCTGCAGGGCTGATCCCTTTCCTCTGGGAAATGTGGATGGGCAAAAAGAGCACATCCTGCTGCAGGGCAGTGATGAGGGGTAGATCCTCAGGGAAGGGCTGGGGTGCTGCTGGTGCTGGCACCTCTCTGGGGTTTCTGGCCTTCACTCAGGGCTGTCCCCACGTCTGGATGCAGCAGCTGCTGGAGGAGCCAGGATCCCAAGGCTTGGGACAGAGGGGGGTCTGCCCATGGGCACAGCAGAGGGGATTCCCAGTGCTCTGCCCCACAGTTCCAGCCCATCCCAGTGTGGTGGGGGGATGCTTTGGCATCTCCCAGCCGGGATCCCAATCCTCCAGCCTTGTGGCAGCCCCTCCCAAATGAATCAGTGGCTGTGGCACCCCAGGGAAGGTTGGGGGGTGCAAGGAAGCTCCTGTGGGATGTTGTGCCTGGTTTGGAGACAGCAGTTCCCACAGGGAATGGGGTGGGTGGCTTGTGAAGGTGAGGAAGGCTCCTGTCCTTTTTGGGGCATTCAGGGAGCATCCCAGTGCTCCTGGGGCACCGGGAGGGGACACGGGATGGCTGGGACAGGCACTCCTGTCCCTTAAGGGCACTCAGGTGTCCCCAGCCAGAGGGAGCCCAGGCTTTGGAAAGGGTGGAACTCCCTCAGGCAGCCCCAGGAAGCCAGTGCAGCTCTGGGTGTGCTCCCAGGAACGAGGAGGCTCCAGGAGGAGGAAGAGGAGGGATGATGCTGATGTGGCTCCTCCACTGCGGCAGCTCCAGCCAGGAAAAGGCAGCTGGTCCAGGGCTGCTGCCTCCAGGCACTGCCTCCCTCTCCTCCCACATCCATGGGATTCAGCATGGGGGATACCAGGGTCGGGGTTTTCCATCTCTATTCCAGCACCCTGTGTGTAATCACACCTCCCCACACACGGATGCGACTCCCAGATAACCAACTCTGGTTATTTTTTTGGGAACAAATCAACTGCTGCAGGCTAAAGTTGCTCATACTCCTGCGTGGAGCGTTTACTCACAGCGTGTTGGGTATTCCAGGCTCTCTTCCCCATCTCCATTCCAAAGTAAACTGAGTAGTGAGGGTGGTTTGCACCTAAAATGTCAGAATTAATTCAGAAAAGGCCAGGGAGAAGGGGCAGGAGGATGTGACAAAGTGGCACCACCATCCCCCAAATCCCTGAGAGACCCTGGCAGTGGTGAGGGTGCCTCAGAAGGGGAATTTAGGCTGGAATCATCAGAGCCGTGTCTGGGGTGTCCCTGTGTCCCCCCTCATTGCTTCCAGCCCAATTCCCTGTCCCTGTGTTTTCCCAGCTTGCCAACAAAGCACGGACGGAGAAGGAGGAGAAGATGAGCCAGGCGTATGCAATTAGTGCTGGTGTCTCTCTGGAGGGGCAGCAGCTCTTCCAGACCATCCATAAGACGTGAGTGCCCACCCTGGGGTCCCCAGTCCCCACCTCGGGGTCCCCACACTCCTTTTTTGGGTCCCTCGTGGCCTTTTTGGGGGATTCCCGTCGCTGGGTTCGTTGTGGAACGCTCTGATGTGTCCTGGGATGTGCTGGATGGGATGCTCAGGGAGGTTCCCTGCCTGCTCCCTGCCCCTTCTGGCACATCCCAGCCCCCTGGACCCCCGCCCCTCTCCAGCTGGGCACTGGAGTGACCAGGGGGCTCTTTGTCCCCTCAGTGGGACTCAGGCCCACCCTGAGGGCAGCGGTGACATTCCCTGATGCCATTGTCCCTCCCCTCAGCATTAAAGACTGTAAATGGCAGGAGAAGAACATAGTTGTGATGGAAGAAGTCGTCATTGCCCCTCCGTACCAGGTGGAAAACTGTAAAGGCAAAGAGGGGAGCGCCCTGAGCCACGTACGCAAAATAGTGAGTGTGGGCTGGGGACACCGGGCGTGCTGGGAGGGTGGCACCTCCCTGGGGACACCCAGGAGCCCCCCAGGACACCCCCTTGCCTCTCCAGATCCCCCCTCCCACCTTTCTTTGAGCCCTGCGTTCAGAACGGTGAGCAGGGACTGGGGACACTGGAAGGACACTGGGTGGGTGTCACCTCCCTGGGGACACCCGAGACCCCTCCCTTGTGCCCCGTCCCTTCCCCTAAACCTCTCTTTTCCATCTTTTCCTCCCTCCTTGCCCTGCAGGTGGAGAAACACTTCCGGGACGTGGAGAGCCAGAAGGTCCTGCAGCGTTCACAAGCACAGCAGACACAGAAGGACACGTCCCTGTCATCCTGAGGCCACCTGGGGCTCAGCCCGTCCCCAGCGCTGCCGGGGGCACCTTCAACTTTTTTTTTTTTTTTTTTTTTTTTTTTTTTTTTTTTTTTTCTTCCTTTTTTTTTTTTTTTTGGGGAAATCTCAACCGATTCCAAACTTTAGACTTTAAAACAAACGAGAAAAGAGAATAATTTAAAGCTCCTCACGCATTACTTGACTAACAGACTTTGTTTTTTCCGCCATGGTTTCTCCCTCCAGCCGGTCAGACTCTGTTAATTTTATTTTTTGGCCTCTTTTTATTTTTTTCCTTTTCCTCCCAGTTCCTGCCCTCCCTTTTTCCCCCAGAAAACCCCCCAGAAAATAAAGCTAACGAGCTGACTGTGGTGGCCAACCGGGACCCTTGTGACCAACGTGGTCTCATTTTAATTTTGTTTGCACAGGGCAAGGCTTGAATTAGTCTTATTTTTCTTATCTTTAAATATATATATGAATATATATTAAAATGTTCTTTAAATATTTTTCTGCTTCTAGCAGGGTCGTGGCAAAAAATCCTTAACACCCCCCCAGGAGCAGCCAGTACCTGGATTTGGGGGTTTCCCCCCATTTCCTTTATGTTTTTAATTTTCTTTGCCTTTTTTCATTTAATTTTTAATTTCTTTTTTAATTTTAATTTTTTTTTT